GCAGGTAATAGGGAAACAGTTTCTGTTCCAGCCATTGATAAAGGAGGCAGAATATTAATGGTTTCTTTCCATGGTTTTTTTTTTTTTGGCCAAAAATTACATCATCTGGTTGGTATTTGGGCTTTTAAAAGAGCAGATAACATTGATTTGTATTTTCTAGACAAGTTTCCCCTGCAGGGCAGTGGGAAGCTGTGGGGTTTGAGGAAGCATAGGAGGAGAGATAGGTTGGATGGGGAGAGGAGGAGTATGGGAAGTGGCTGATAAAAGGCAGAATCAGTGCAAAGTTAAAATCTAATTAATAACAAACAGTAATCTAATTCATCTTTGTAATTAAGAGGTGCAACTACTGATTGAAAATAATTACATTTTAATCTAAAATCATTAAAAATAATCAAACATTAACAAAAGAAAAGGCAGCCCCTGGGAAGATGCAGGAGGTGTAGCTGATACCCTGAGCTCCGGTCCCGCTCACCAAAGCTGCTTCACAGCTTCCTCAGTGTGTGTTCAGACCCAGATCCATGGGGGATGCCCCTGCCTTGTGCCTTCACTGCTTGGGTCTGAGCAGGTAGGAAAGGCACAAGGTGAACAGAGATACACAGAGATGGACCCCAAGCTTTGCACTAGGTCTTCCCTGTGCTCTCACCTGAGGGGATGTCTCCAGCATCCTTTGCAGTCCCCACCATGATCCATGGCCCAGATGACAGCTGCCAAAGCTCAGCTTTATCCTCATCCCAGACCAGCAAATCCAGTTTTACCAGCTCCTTGGCCATGCAGCATTTTGGGCAGCCAAGTTTCCCTGCCCCACATGAGCTGGTTCCTTAGAGCCCAGGCAGGCAAACCAGCAAACCCCAGTGCCCAGCTCCATGGTTCTCACTGACAAGCTGTGATTGTCCTCCACAGCCAACCAAAGCTCGAGAAGCACGTGGCCTTACAGTAGCCTGGATGGCCTTACCCCACCAGTACAATGGGCTTACAGGTCACAGTGCCTGCTCCTGTCTCACCCAAGGAGCCAAAATCCTTCCCTCAAGCATGATGCCCAATTGCCGTCCTCAAGACCACACTGAGCACGAGCTGTCCCAGTGATGTTCCTGCTGCACCTTCTGCTTCACCCTGCCCTCCTGCTCTGCTTCTTCAGCCTGTGGAGTTGGTATATGAGTCTCTAAATCCCTTCAATGACATGAGGGAGACAGGGAAGAGGCTTACCTGGAGCTGATGAAGACAAGTGGCCTCCTGGATGCCTGGCTGGCAGCTGCCAGGGATCTGGGTATTTGAGTGCTGCAGTCTCCTCCCTAGTCCCATTTTGAGAGCAGAAAAACTGGCTCTGCCACGGACAGCACATGACACTGGGAACATGACCAGTCCCATGCATACCTGCAAGAGGCATTGCCTCCAGCACGGGCAGAGCAGAAAGACCCTTTGCAAGCAAGCCAGGGCAGCTCTGGAGGCTGCAGACATCCATAGGAACCAGTCCTGGGATCCAGGAGGACTCATAGAATCATAGAATAGTTAGGGTCAGAAAGGACCTTAAGATCATCAAGTTCCAACCCCCTTGCCATGGGCAGGGACACCTCTCACTAAACCATGTCACCCAAGGCTCCATCCAACCTGGCCTTGAACACCACCAGGGATGCAGCATTCAGAGTCTGGGCATGTGCTATGGTCAGCACCCTAGTGGAAATAGAGAAGAGGCGATTTGGGGCGTCCTTAAAACCACAGTGAGAGGAGCCTCCAGCAGGTCCTTGCTCCACTCCCGGTGAGAGGTGTCAGGCAGCTCCAAGACGTCCTGGCAAGGCCAGGCCATGAAGTACTCAGTATTCCCAGCTCCCTCTGAACCATGTCCTTGCTGCTGGCTTTCACTCCAACATATCATTAAGCAAATACCTGTCAGCAGAGAGCAGTTACCAGCAGGTCTAAACACTTGCATAATGTGCTTCCCCTCTAATGCAATGCCCTCGTTTCTAATAGCACCAATATGGGATAATAACAGTAACAATAATGTCAAGAAGGGCTTGTGTACCTGAAAGCTAATTTGTTTTCTCCACCTAATAAAAGGTATTACCTCTCCCGCAAGATTTGCGCCATTTAAAACCTTCAACTCTACAACAAATTTGCTCCCGCAGTCATTTGACTTTAACTTACAATAATTGCAATACGCATGGAGTCCCCTCCCACCGAGTGAGACTAACCCTGGGTAACTCAATGCAGGGAGCAGGCAGCTGTATAGAAGTCACTTGTCCTAAAAACCAACCATGTCTGCCCCAGGCCTCCTCCACTGGAGCCCTAAATTAAAATCAAAACTCCCCTCAGCGGGTTTAGATCAGAAATAAGGGATGTGTTTTAACAGCAAGGGTGGATAAACCCTGGAGCAGCTCAGCAAAATGGGTGGCAGAGTCCCCGTTGCTGCCAATTTACAGTCAATAGCTGTGGTTCTTTGGAGCAGAGATGCTTCAACTCACATGCAAATCACTCTGGGAACTCCTCACAGCCAGTTTTGGGGTAAACCATGGCAGCAATCCTGCCTGTCCCGGCAGGATGAAGCCACCAGATCGATGCAGCCTGGGGTACAGTGCAGAAATCTGGCAGAGATGTGCACAGGGAACATAGCGTGGGACCCTGTTTGGATCCAGGGAGGCTGTGTGGTGTTGGGACCTGATGGCATCCAGCCCTGCCACCTTAAGGAGGATCCTCCCCTACAAACACCACACTCAACCTTACTTTTAACTGCTGCCTTACAGCACAGGGGTGGCTGCCACCACCCAGCAGGAGAGCAGAGAGTGGAACCTGCAGCCACGTCCAGGTCCCAACCCACAGACCATGAAGGTTCTGCTGTCACCCTGCAGCAGGGTGACCCAAAACACCAGCATACAGCCACCTTTGAGCTGCTGTCACAGTGCAGAGATTTGAGGGACTCACTGAAAACATTAATTAGCACAGTACTGAGCACTTGCAACTTCTATTTCTGTGCACTTACATCTTCTTCAGCTACAGAAGACCAATCTCTGTTTAAATTCCATCATCACAGACCACTGTTTATTTAGGATCCAGTGTCCACACCTGGGAAAGAAATGCCTCCTCCTGCCACAGATTTTCCCCTTCCTGCCTCTGAGTCAGGGCATTTAATTTGCGCTGTAGGTGACGTGGGACATGCTGTCCCCTTGGTAGTGCCACCAGTGGCAATGTAGCTGCTGATTCTTTCAAATGACAACAACTGCTCATCCCGCCTGTGTCAGAGGTTTTGCTGCTACCGAACGTGTGTGTTTTAATAATGAAAGGGAGTCCCTGGGAAGCTGGTTGGAAAAGGGCTGGGAGCACATCCCCGAGCCCATCGGGAGGACCAAGCCTTTCTTATGTTTTAAACCTTTCCACAGCAGCTGCCAGGAAGCAGCTTTTACAGCTACAAATAACAGAATCTCTCCCAAGGAAAGAAAATAATTGTGGAAAGCTTTTTTCTCTTATCCCCCTCGAGTCCCTGCCAGCATCTTAGCTAACTCTTCTCTATTCTCAGCCACCTCTTACCTCTCCAAACACTACCACAAGTGCTCAAATTACTGCCAGCTCTCATTAGGTTCATGCACAAGGCAAGGCCAGCAGTAAGACCTCCAGACAGTTGGATGCTGAATTCTGATGAACCCTTTGGGTAGGAAGATTTCAGCAACTGTGGATCTGTTTTAGTTGGCTGTCTATTGCAGTCCTCGCACTGGCACACCAGTGAAGCTGGTGAACATTTGATTACTGGCTGCTGTAACAAAATCCAGGTGGGCAAAGAAAGAATTACTGTCTGCATATTCAAAACAAATCACCTCATTTCCTTTAATTATTAAACTCCACTAAAGCACTGCAGGTCAGTAGAATGTATCTGCAAGAAAAGCAGCTGCTGTGCCATATCTTTATTTTTTTCTCCTCTGCCATTTCTGTACATTTTGGCTTTTTAGCAGGAGCAAAGTTACCATTTTGCACTGGTGCAGGAACTGGCAGCTCGGCTGTAGGAGCCCTCACTGCCCAGCCTTGGTTCAGAGTTCTTTTTGCTCTGGGAAAGCTAGAGAAAAGCCATGAGAAAATCCATGAGAAAAGCCTCAGCTGTCCCAGCTTTGCCCCACAAACCACAGCCAGGGCTAGAATCAAAAACCCCACCGTTCTTGCTTCTCATTGTATTCATGCCCACTGCTACCTCAATAGCTTTTCACTGAAATGGTTGTCAAAAGAAATCCTTCTTTTAATAATGCTATCAAGCAAACCAAGAAAAAAATTACAGAATTCATGGTAGCACAGGTTTTTTTTACACCAGACATTCTCCTTTCAAGTTTAGTTGCCTTTAAGATGCAAAAAAACACAGCTCTCCCTTTAGAGATCTAATCGGTCTACCCATGACTAAGGCAAGGCTTTCCCCATATATATATATATATATAAAAATCAGAGGAGCATTATCCAAAAGGTATTCTAATAATAAGAACACCTCTCTACTGCACAAATAGAGGAATGTTAAGCCTTCAGTACAGCTGAAACGTGCAAGACCTGCTAAAACCCAGAGGATTTTCCAAACAGGATTTGAGCATCACTGTCACCAATGAGCCGGTACAGAGGCAGGTGTGACATTCGGTCACCTCTGGTTAGCTATTCTGGACTTCTTGAAGTTCCATTTTAGCTGTGCATTTCTGCTCTTGTGATTCCAACAGAGGCTGTTCCCTCCCAATGGGCAGGCTCAAAAGATAGACATTGCAGAAAGGAACAAAGCAGGGAAATTTCAGAGCACAAAGAAACAGACACTGTACATGAAGCTTCTGAGACAAATCAGGGCTCCTGCTAACAGAACCAAATTGCTTCCTCTCCCCCTACTTTAATATACCTTCCAAGAAGAAGGAGCATTGCATTATAGTGTTTTTTTACACAGAAAGTGGAGACAAGCAGTATCTGAGTTGTCTGTGGCTGACATGTGAAGCTGCACTGAGGAAGTGGAATCCTCCTGCTAAATTCTCTCATTAAATTGCCCAAACACAAGTCAATCTCTTTTAGCCAGTTCTCATTTATTGCTATAAAGCAAAGTACCCCCATTCTTAGGGCCAGATCAGCATTTTCGCAGCTCATGCTGAAGCAAGCACTCTGCAAGAGAACAGCACCCTAGTGAGAGTCCCAATCCCACATCCCTGAGTCATTAACAGACATCTTCAGGCAACCAGGGCTTCTCTTCAGCAGCAACAGCTTGATAAGGAATCCTCTCTTTCCAGCTCTATTCTTTCCAGTCTAGGAACTGCAAGGTTCATAAATATTTGCCTTTTCTTGCACTTCCTATCCAATATTCAGTTCGACACCAATGCAGAGCTATCAGGAGCCTAATTATGTCTCTCTGACTTAAAAATCACACCATGAGTTTAGCTAACTCTTTAACTGCCCAGCTGCTACTCTTCTCTCCAGCACTGGCAGAAGCTCTCTGGACTGTGAAGACAAAGGGCTTGTTAACAGATACAGCAGAGGGATTTCAGTGAGAAGATATAGTCAGTCCATGGAAACAGAGAAGCAGTCTGCACTTAAGTCTGTCACACTGCCCACCAACCTGGACTATGCTAATCACATCTCTCAGTGCTGTAGAAGCTGTCATTGCCAGACTGCATTTAATCACGGTTCTTACAGCAGCAGCGATCAGAGTTAATCTTTTTCCCTTTAATAAGAGCTATTACATCACTCTCCAGCATGGAAACTACGAAGTGGGAAGGTCAAAAAGTTCTTAATTAGAAGGGTTTTTATTACTGTGATAGTTCCGTTCTAGCCTCAATAACAGAGATCTGAAGTACAGGCAGCAAGAGCTGGAAGGCATCTTGGATATATGAAGCACTGTTTGAAGCCTGTGAAAACAAAAATTAAAATACACACATGAATAATTACGCTACCAATCAGCTTTCCTAACCACACACTCATTTCAAACAACATTGAATAACGCACATAACAGAAGCCTCGTGCTTGTTGGATTTTTAAGGCTTCATTTTAGAAATCAATTTAACATTAAGTTTTTGAGGAGTTTTATGCCACTAGGCAAAAAAATCAACTGGCTTCAAAACTGCCAAACAAGATCAAGTGTAATCTAAATGTAGGACACTGTTTTCAAGAATAGATGAGAAGAATCCGTTTCAAAGTGAGGCATAAGAATGCTGTGGCAGGAAGGAATAACACACCAACAAGGAAACACCCATTTCCTACCACACCTCTGAAATTTACAAGCTCTGAGAACCAGTTTAACAGATAGGAAGTGTGGGACTCTTGCATGTTTATTTATGAGCTTGTCTAAGGTTTGACTTTGGACACCTCAATTCTGGAAAACCAGGCTGCTGGATGTAGCATGTTTTTTCTGACTCATCATAACTGTCAGCTGAGACCATACAGGCTCACCTTTCACTATGTAACTCATCTCTTGTGCAAATCTACAGACATTTATTAGAACGTTCAAGTGATTAGATAAGGAAGCAGAATCTTGGACCATGAGGCTTGGCACACACAAGGATACCAAAGTGGAAAAAACAGCATATCTATTTTTTAAGTATTACTCAACGTTTTAACTTTAGCATAACTGACCTCCAAAAACACTCCAGTGATTAAGGGATTAAGCACATCTGCTTTCTCTTTGACCTGCAGAGATCAGACATATATTATCCTGATTGGAAATTTGATCACATTTCTTCAAGCAAGATAAAGCTAAATCCTTGGTAGGCTTAAAATCACCATTGCTCCCCTGACTCTAGGAAAGCTAAGTTGCAAGCTGCAGAGGACCTGCCTTGTAGCATGCAAATAAGAACAAAGCAACCCACATATGCCCAACGTAAGCTGTATATGAATATGCACATTATGTGTTTAAATGTACTGTGGACAGCTGGAGAATTGAGAGATAATGATACTATCTTCAATAACACCTGAGTGTTTTGGAAAAGCCACACTAGGATCACAAACCTCATTTACTTTTGTCTCCTTAGTACCGACAGCTCCCACTCCCCCTCTGCACTCACCCCCACACCAGTCTGAATGCAGCAGAAGGCATTCAAAAGCTCAGCATACATTCAGATGCCACAATCTGGGAAACACTGACCTAAAAGATCAGTTTACAAGGCAAAAAAAAATGCATATATAAATGTGCCAACACAAAAAGCACTTTGTGGTGAAGATCTCAAGGCTGTAATCAACTAGCCACATCTCATTCCTAAGAACTATGGTGTAACTCTTACCCCTGCAGTCGTTAAGCATGTAGTAAACTCTTTAGAGAAAGTTGACAGTTCTTTACACAGCATAATTGTCATTCTGTGAAAGAAGAGTGGGAAAACAATGTAATAAATGCAGTCTACAGGAATAACTTTTAGCATTCCTCTAACACATAAATACCTTGTTTCCATGCATATTAAACCAAAACTGCAATTAAACCAAAACTGATATAGAGCATATAAACAGTGTACAAAGCTCCAGAAGTTCCCTGAATAAATTAGGAAGGGGGAAGATGTAAAAACAAACAATTAAAGCTGAATGTCTGAAACAGCATTCAAAGGACAAACATGTCCTTTCAAGAAGGAATGGTACTAACTCCCTTTTTCCTTTTACTGACAAGTGTTACTTTCTGAAAGTACTGCATATTTCATGTGCTTGCCAAGTATCTCCTGACATAAGAGAAAAACCTCGTGTTATGCGTTATTGGAAAGACCAATGTACTAATTTAGCTGCAGTACTTTTACAATATTGCATACCTAACATACTAAAAGATTAGCAAAGAGGTAATTAAGAATCACTTTTATACAACTGCTTTGTCTTATTTTATATGTCTACCCACTAACTAGCACAAGCTTAGGGCAAACATTCTACTTGGCTAAACAAAAGCTTTCAAGTAGGGTTTCCTCTTTCTTATCAAGAAATATCTTTAAGCTGAAAGAAGAGGCAGCTGAATACTGCTGGAAGATAGTGATGCCACCCACTGCAACTTTAAACATACATGCAGAACTCAAAAGCCCTACATCCCATGATTTGCAAAGCATCATTAAACAGTTTAATCAGTATATCAGTAATTATAAGCTACACATTTAGTAAGAGATGAACTTACTGTGAAAGGGACTTGGCTCTGTCTGTGGCCGTCACCTCTTGTTTCTGACCATGTAGAAACAAAGCTGCAGTTTTGTGGAACATTTCAATGGAGCATGCTGTCAGTTCGGCCAGACTTCTTATGGCAAATGCATGAATATCCTGCAAGAGTTAAGAGGATTCCCCAGACCACACATAAACTAGCAGCTTTTATTATTTCAGACAAGTGAATCACACAACATGCTGTCACTACACTGCACTTTCAGACCTCAGGATCTGCACAAAGACTCTGGGAAACACAACTGTAACTCAGCAGCCAGGTAAACACTCTATGGTCAGACATTCTCTTCCTTCATCACTCAGTTACCTCTACTGATTTTCTAGCATCGTGGTCACCATCTCTGGATTCTACTTCTCGATTCTCTTCACTCTCTTTTTCTTCTTTAGGAAGACTACTGTTGAATTGTGCTATCCATTCATGAGCAGATGTCCTCACCTGTATGAAGATGTGCCATAGTATTTAATGACTGGAATGAAGCCCCTCTGCTCACCACAAAACATGGAGTACTGAATCTCTACGGAGGAAGAAAACAGCCATAACTCCTGAGCTAGTGAGAACAACCAGAGCAAATGATCCTAGTGGCTTCAGGTCAGCTGGCTGCACTGATGTAGTTGAGGGCAGTCATTTCTCCAGCACTGGGTGTTAGTTTACCAGCAAAACCACAACTTAAAAGAGGTGCTTTAAAAACCTGTCTACAGCATACTGCTGCCACTTGGTGGATCTGAAGGGTAGTAAAATGAAGGCAAGAAAAGTGATACCTCCTCATACCAAGTTCTGGACATAGCAAAACCAGCTGCTCTGTACCAAGAGGAGGACTTCAGTGCATGACTGTAGGTCGATTTCACTGTGGTGGCTGAAGGCTTAGTGCTCACAGTTATCTTTGCCACCACTTGTAACTGCACAATGAAAGGGAAAGACACACTAGTATCTACTGATTCAGAACCAAAAACATTACAGAACATGATTTTGCCCCATAAGGTCAAAGGAAATGGCCCATCTCTTTCGCCTACCATTGTCAAAGGATCTAAAACAAGGCTTGTTTTCATGCATTTGATATTTTCACAAACAAAACAGGAAGAGACGCAGTTCTTGTAAGAAATCTCTCCAGCTTTTAGAAGATAGGAAATAACTCACTGTGATCAGTTTGGCCGGGCTTGAGGAGATGTGCAACTCTGAAAACAACTCTGTTACTTCTTTTGTGAACTCCTCATCTCCTAGAGAACAGGAAAAGTTAGAGAATCCATGCAAAGGACACAGACAGGAATAAGCAGCACTTCAATGCAGAACTAGTTCTGCCCAAATCTATCAACTATCTCCTCTATTTTTGTTCAAATCATCACCTCAGGCAACATGTATTGAGGCTGGTCTTTTTAAATACAATTTATAAGGTAAGTTCTGAAACAGCGGAGACACCAGTGCCAGAAGGTTAACTTCTGCTTTCTTAATTCCAGTTTGGTAACTCAGGTAATTCCACTTTTATTTTTTTACAGGCAGCATTTTATAATGCAGTAACTTGCACATCACCTTGGAGAGCCTGAAATATCACTTAAAGCCTATGGTTCTCCAATTATATATGGCAGGGCAGATGTTAACAGTGGGGGGAAGGCTGTGAGATGCATCATGTGCAAATATAAAAGATACATTAAATGTTAAATGACAGCAAGTGCAGGTGTGTAAGCCCTCCCTGATGAGCCATTTAGGCAAAAGCAATGCGAGAAATTTACATTTAAATCTGCATAATCCTCAAGAATCAGATGGCTCTTGTGCATGGAGGCACCTCTTGAGTCTTTTGGTCTGTGTGGCTAACTCTCTTTTAACACATAAATCAAAAGGCTTTTTGCTTTCCCACAGGTTGGACATCTCTGTTCACAGTTTTTTCCTCATGGTCAGGGAAACCCAGCATCTCTTTGAATTTGTACCTTGGCTCAAGGTCAATTGTATGAACCGCCCAGGAGTTAAAACAACTTTAATCCTCCTCTGGCAAGAAATCATTCCTGCTACAGAATTAATTCACAGCAGCTTTCCAGAGATGAAGGATATTGCTACCTGTCATGCTCCTGGCCACAGCTGGCTTTAGGATTAAGCATCCAGCTAAAGAACACCTTAACTTTGGCAACCTGCCCATTGCTAGTGATCAAGGCTGGTTGGCTCTACACTGAGAATTTCATTGAGAACTAGCTTGCTCTTCCAGAACCTGGGGCTCTTTTACCCTTCTTTTCTTCCTCCTCTTCTTCAAAGAATTCAGGTAAAGAAAATGCTTCTTTCACTTGTTCCATTTCCTCCTTCAGTGTGTCCAACTCTTCTCCAGAGAGAGCACTTAGAACCGATTTCACCTGCACAGCCAAAGAGAGAATCATAAATCCAACAAGAAAAAGACAGACAATGGAAGATGCAACACTGGTTTACACTGCACATAAAAACATCAGGCTGAATGTTAATAAGAAAGTAGTACTTTCCTACAAGGAAGAGAAAAGAGAAAAAGACCCATTTGTGAAGACACATTAAATAATAATGGATTCTTCAGCAGTTATTCAATTTTTCATTTAAAAAATGAATGACTTGAAATCGCACGTTGGTCTGCCCTCCTTCCTGCCCCAAGACAGAGTGGGCAATCTCTGCTGTGCTTCCAACACTCTCCTTTTCTCCAGACCAAGGCAGCAAACAAGTGACTATGAGGAAAGAGTAATTTGTGAAATGTTGTTGAAGACATGCAAGAACTGAGGGTAGCTGGGTAAAGAAAATGGCTTTAGGGGCTGAGGACAGGACATAACGCTCCCAAGGTAAACACCAGATCATAATGCAGGGGTCAGAGCGAAGTTGTGTAATCCATCACTTTACAGCAAGTTCTGAGCACTCGATTTTGCATGTATATCCATATATTTCTGGCCTTTTTTTCCCTGCTCAGCTGACTTCAAAATAGAAGGCAAATTGCTCAAGGCCATTACCTTTGATTCACTCTCTCTGGAAAGCATCTCTAAGGCCTCCAGATGAGAAAGACCCTGAAACTCATCAAACAGTAACCCATAATGGGCTTTCTTCTCCGTAGCCATGGCAACCTCAGTAGCTGTCTGCTGCTCTTCTTTCTCCTTTGCTTCTCGTAAGACCTGAAAAATAAAAGCAGAGTACTCAGGTCAGTGCCAGAAGATACAGAGCAGGGGAGGAGAAGGCGTTTGGTTCAATAGTAAAAAAGGTTGCATAGTGATGGGACTGTAAAAGAAGGGAGAAACCAATGAGCTGCTGATATGGAACTGCCATACCTGAGATAGCGTGGAGTTTCTGTTCATTAGGCCCTTTGTTTTTTTGAATCCAGGATCTCCCTCAGCTATTACATCCATTGTCTTTTTCCCAATGAATTCCAAGGCATCCAGACCTCCGCTAATAACGCTTTTTCCCTAGAAATCAGATTTGGATATAGGCAGCACATAAAATTCATAGAAAACTATACAACTGAAGGAAACGAACTGGAGGATTTATATCAGCAGTATCATGCTGGACACTCACATAAAATCCAAACTGATCCTTGTCACCCTAAAATTCAACCCTAATTGCCACAAAGAAGGACATGGAAAGAGCCACAACACACTATCATCCTACAGTTTAATAGAGTACTCAGACAGCTGCAGCAATCTAATGGGAAATACACTTTTCTTTTGTGAATAAGCTGGTTCTTAAGCACACTGAAGTATTTAGTTCTCATCCTTCCAATCAGAAAACACTAGACCTGTGGGTTTTGGTTGTTAACTCTTGTTCAAGCCTTAAAAGCAAAAGCAAGCTTTCTGTCTGCAGCTCTTTCAGATTCATGGGCAAATTGACAAGACAACAGATCACGAAAGCACAGTTTCTAAGGGTAATGTGTTCCTTTGAAGTGTATTTCCCATGGTCACAGGAGCAAACTGATTTCCAAGCAATTTGGGCTAGTTTCACAGGAGTTTTGAAGAAGAGAATGGATTTCATCTCTAGACAGTTCTGTGGAAATCAGTGGAAATATTCCAGGAATGAGTCTGACCCTGCATTTTACCTGAATACTCTAAAGGAAGCGAGCAGAGATAACAGGGTACAGAGGTGACAAGCACAGGAATGCACACACCACACTGTCCACTGTTAGGTTTTTTGTGTTATGAGTCAACATTTAATCCTATCAAAATTCAGGACAACTTACACATTAAATACCAGTTAGAAGCAAGGCACAGGATAAAGTTTGTCTGAAGACTGGAACAGTTTCTCACCATTCATCCCACAAAAAAATAAGAAGTAAAACCGTTCTCTTATGATGTTTCAGATGAAAGGCAAAAACCCCAATGCTCTCTTACACCCATTTTCCCTGTGTTCCCAACTCACTCACTGTGCTTTGGACAGCAGTAGAGATGGTTGATAACACTTCAAGAGCTCCGGCAATAGGAAAGGAACTGCCATCCCCAACTGCATCTGTGCTGCTAGCACCAGGATTTTCGCTTCCTGCATTAGAAGGCAGAAAATTAAATTCCTTGCTCCCCCCAAAAGATCCTGTCAGCTGCAGAATGGAGAAAATAATCAAACACCAAGCGTCAGCCAGAAGCAGAGCCAGAATTGGCATTATTTTCCTACCTTCTTTTCAGAGCTAACAGAAGTATGAGAGTATTATTTTAGCACTGAGATATCTACCTCAACATGCAAGGTGAAGAGGAAGGTGATGTTATTTTGGGGCTGATTACGTTACGAGAAGTCATAGAATCATAGAAGCGTTTCAGTGTTGTTCTTACGAAGTAAAAACTGACCTCTTGTAGCATCTCTAGTTTCTGAAGAGATTTCACTTGGACTGGGGATCCCAAGGGTTGTTTCTGCTTTTTCTATGACATTTGAAATACCTTGACCTAGAGAAGACAACAGTATTACTTTAACCATACAACAGAAATCAAATCAGAAACAGGATCAGGGCTGCATATTGGGTTTTATTATTCTGTATTCCTCCTTTTTAAGACAGTTCACCCGGCACTAAAACCTACTGCCACCCAGCTTGCTTACCAATGTAATGAACTCAGGTTTCACCTCAGCTTTTAAATCAAGTTGCAAATACTGGCTGAAGAGCAGTTTAAAATACCAGCTGAAAATGATGCAAACACCTTAAAAGTTTGAAAGTCATTTTGGCTATGCATAAGTTCTTTAATCTCATTGTACCTATTGCTACAAGTTTTCTCCATTACTTAACAATTCCCTTGACATTTTTCCAATAACTGCTGCTATGACAGAAATCCCCTTCTCTAGAAACAAGCTCAAAAGCATTAGCTGAGACATGAAGAATGGTTAAAATATATATCAAATACCAGAAAGAGCCTTACCTACAGTAGCTACAGTAGCAGATGCAGTTGACAGAAGAGATTTCCCCCAGCTTCCCCAGTAACCCCATCCTGTCTGAACTGCAGCTGAAGAATCAGAGGCCTTTAATGAAGAAGAGGAGAGTGATGTAGGTATTATGGTGAGCAGAGGAACACAAGCAGTCTGTGATGTGTCACTTTTGTGCAGCTTTTTCCTTTCAGATAAACACCAATGTGAATTTTCAGAAGAGGAGCGAGCCTTATGCTCAGCATTCTTCTGTACTCAAAGCCATGAAACGTGAAGTCACGCTATTCAGAGCTAGCACAGGAACATACCTTGAGGGTTTCAGCTGCAGGCTTCTCTGTGGCAGCAGGCTGACTTGTGGGTTTGGGTTCAGGTCTTTTCCGAGTCATAGGCGGAGGCTCGATCTCTTGCTCTTTCTCTTCATTGCTCTCAGTGCTGCCAAGGCCCTCTGCTTTCTGTTCATTTCCATCTTCATTAGAGGTTTCTTCTTTCAGATCTTCAACGCTATCTTTCTCAGACATGACTACGAACACCCATAGAAAGCAGAGCAGATAAAACAATCACTCCCTTGTACACACTGACATTGGTTCAAAAGCATCACATTTGTGTTTTAAAGAAACACAACTAAGACAGAAAGCCCTCCATGCTGCCACACGTACCTGCATGAACAGATTACATTTGTAAGCAAATGTGTACACCAAGTTACATCTGACTGGAAAGAAACATCCCACTTGGAAGTTTAAAGTCCCACAGAACCACTCTGCTTTATCTAAGTGACACACCCTCTCCACAGGACAGAAACAGGTTGTTAACTCTGAAAAGCAAATGAAAGGTACAAGAGGTCCTCAGATAATTCAATACATGACTTGCTTCATGAAAAACAGTGAAAACAAACGGCTTGGGAAGGCTGCTTTTAAGGGGGCTCCATTAAAATGGGGATAGCTGTCAGAAAGCCAGACAAGGAGGGAGGCAGCAACTGGTTTGCTCCTGTATTTGGGGCTGAGGGTGTTCGCCAGGGTGTTAACACCACCCAGCACCTGAAACACGCTCAGCGGGCGCTGACACTGCACACAGGGGATGACGGTGGCCCATGAACAGCGCTGCCACGTCGCAGCCTGCTCACGGGGGCAGAGATTTCTCTCTGCTCTCCTCCCGGCCTCGCTGGCAGCACCACACCAGCTCCAGGGCAGTAACTTGAGGGCAACAACAGCAGGCAGGTACAGGCAGGGTCACACTGGGCACCCCACAGATGCCAGCATCACTGCCGGCATGAAGCTGCGTCCCCTCGGAGCTGGCCACGGATGCAATCCGGGCAGCTATCCCCCATTCACGGGTTCTGTTGGCTTGAAGTGAACGAAGAGGACAGCTCGGGGTGACTCGGGGACCCCCATCCCATTTCCACATGTCTCCCCATAGTAGTCAGTGGGACACCGCACCCTGCAGCTCCCCCGGCACCCCCTGAGCTACCCAGCCCTCGGGGCCTGCCTCCCTCCCCTTCTCCCCAGGATCCCACATCCCCCACATGGCGCTGCCTAGTTCACAACGGACCCCTCGTTCCCTACCCCCCCTGGCATGGTACTCCTGCCCCATAAGGGCCCCCCAGCTGCCCACAAACCTCTCTACCGGTACCGACTACTCCACAGAGGACCCTTGTGTGCCCCGAGCCCTCCTCACTTTCGGGACTCCACAGTCCCACAGAGGGCCCCTTCGAGCCCTTTGTACCCGCGGCCCCGGTTCCACCCTCCTCACCCACCGGGCCGGGACAGCTCCGCGCTCCCCCGCCGGGCGGACCGTAACCATCGAGCCGAGGCGCAGAGCGGCACCCCGCGGAAGTGCGGCCTAGCCCGGAAGGGTGCGCGGGGAAGCACATCCGGGCGGTGGGACGGCGGTGGCGGAGGTGAGCGGCGGGTGGGAGCCGGGGCCCGGCCGTGCTGCTCCCGGTGAGGACTCGGGGGAAGCTCAGCCCCACCTCGCTGCTGAGGGACAGCCTGGGTCCGGCCTCGCTGTTTTGGCTGCCGGAGGGGGGTGGTGCCTTTGGGGTGGCATGAGGCCGGCGGGGTCCCTCGGCTGCAGGGTGGATGTGTGGCGTGTTCCCCGCAGGCTGGAGCAGCCCGGCTTGAGCGGGGTTTGACCCGAGCGAGAGCAGGGTCGCTGGGGACAGGGTGATGGTTCTGTGGGGCTCTGTACCTGATGGTGTTTAGCTGACCGCGGACAGTAACCGTGTTTTCGTGTGCAGCGTGTCCCGTGCCCTTCGGGAGCTGCCCGTGGCCTGTGTCAGGCAAAGACTGTGTACGTGGCAAAAGCTACTCAGCATCGAGGTCTGCTCTGGTCTCTTGGAGGTTTGCTCCCAAAACTGTTTGGTTTTGGGCTGCCGGTGCAGCCGCTCACCCCAGGAGCCTTCACTATTGCTGGCAGAAGGTGAACCCTCCATGCAGCCTCTGCTACACTGGGAACACCAGTATAATGGCTTTGGCCAGGCCATGCATCTGTTTCCATTAACTTCCCAGGAGTTAATGACTTAAGGGCTCTGCCAGATGCAGCTCCCTGATTTGAAAGAGCGTCAGAGGGTGGTCACAGTCACACTGCAAGTAGGAAGGTGCACTCAGAGCAGAGTGGTCCATTTCCATCTATTTAGTGTGTGTTATTACCAGTTGGGAATGCCAAAATGCGTTTGTTTCCACGCTGTGAGACAGAAGTGGCAGTCGGTTAGAGCAGTCGGTGGTCTGTCAGGTGTGTCCGGGTTTATTGCTTCATTTTTCTCCAGGTACGGAGTGATGTTATTAGCACTGAATGTAAAGCCATATAACTGGCAACCCCTTGGGCCCCAGTTTTGCAGGGTCTTGTAAATGTGTGTGATTTTAAGTACTATCAGTACTTCCATTGACCTCAGTGGGACTACTTATAGCGCTCTGAGTTAAACACAAATATGCTTTTTCAGGATAAGAGCCAAAGATGATTCACACAAGCATATGCATCATGGAGTTTTATCTTTGAACTGCTATTTGTTGTTGCAACCTACGGTTTAATAAAGGTTAAGTATGTGCAGCTCAACTTCAGGTTCAGTTGTAAAAAAGCCAATTTCTATTCTGCACATTTCATCTTGCTTGGGCTTAATGCTTTCTGGAAGAATTGCAATGGAGGCACTGTACATGCTTTATCCTTTTTGGATCCTTTATCAGCTCCAGCAGCTGTTTTACATAAGTGTGATGGTTGAAGAATATGGATTTCACAAACCAGCACTGGGCAGTGAGAGATCATTGTCTGCTTAGCAGTAATGGCTTTTCCAAAGCAAAACACGACAAACAATTTCTAATAAATCAGACCTCGAAGAGTTTAATAGTAAAACTCAATGACCCATCACCAATGTTTTACCCATTATGCAAGCTCAGTGTGAATATATTGGAGAGCATATGCAATTACTGAAGATAATTGTCTTATGAGAGAAAATGTTGATGAGTATTTCTTGTATTAAATAATTGACTGAGGTTCCTGATGTCATTTTAGGAGTGTCACAGACTCTTGGAACTCTTAACAATTTAAATTTAATAATCTAAAATTACAGTAGTGCAGGTAAAGTACAGGAGGTCCTACACAGGACCTTATAGAGACAGGACCTAGATTATTTTAGAATAAATCTAAAACATGATTAGTTGGGAAGTTATTGTTTTAGAGGACTGTAAGTTATATATTTGATTTGGTCCTGAAAATGAGGGTTTGTCTTCACTGCAGAGCTATCATCAGCTGTAACTGCCTCAAATGCTTACAGGTCAGGTCCTGATGCATGCAAAAGCCATTAAGTGTGGTGGCATTTTTAACTGAAGGCAGCCGGGTTGTGGGGTGATGTGTGCTGATCTGTGATCACGAGCTGTGACAGGCTCAAATGGCAACTCCAGCACTTCAAATGTCAGTGGTCCACAAACTGCTAACAATCCTGCTTTAAGAAGGCTGCACAAGGTAACCAATAAGCAGCTCAGTTGTTAGCAGCTTTCTGAAGGCTCTGAAGCACTCTTGAAAATAATAGGGATCTGAAAAAGGAAGGTTAAACCCACACCTTCAAACAGAAGAATAGTTACTGATCAGCAGCAACCTTAGTATTGTCTTGTGCCGTTGATGTGGCTGGGATGCTCTTCTCCAGAGGCAGCAGGGCTCAGCCACACTTTCCCTAATGTGTAACTGGTGGAAAACAGGAACTAAAGAGGTCTTGGGAACGTTTTTAACCATTTAGCTATGGGAAAGTAGCTTCTTCAGAACAATGGTATAATTCAGCTCTCAGCGTTGGTCTCAAATGAACGGACAAGAGGCATGATAGAAAACAGAGTGGGGCCAATTAAAAAAAGGGCAGATGGAGAGATTGCTGTTTACAGGGAAACAACCAGAGAGCCTGTTTTCCAGTTTCTCTTGCAGGATTCAGTGGGTGAGTTGGTTAGTCAAGCTTGAAGGAGAGTTGGACACAGCTGTCTTATTTGCCTTCTTTGTCAAACTGGTTTTGGCAACGGCCACAGCAGAAGTGGGTCAGTTAATATGTTTCTCATCGGATGTTGTCTGGAGTCCAGTTTGACCTTCCACAAATTAACAGAAAAGTATTCCTAGTCTAGGTAATGTGTTATCAGCAAATTTTCTCTGCTGAAAAGACAGTTAGTACAAATCACCTGTGTTTATTTGTATTACCTATTTTTTCATAAATGACAGGGTTTCTTTCTGCTTTAGGCAGTGTTAACTGGCGATTCTGGAAGGCCGGAAGCGTATGCATTATTTATTAAGAAAGTGTGTTCCTTTGTATTGTGATATTTATGAAATTCAAGTCTCCTGGCATTTGTTATTGGTAGAAGAAAAGATGATATATCTGAAATCACACAGTCAATGGGGTGAAGTGAGGTATTCTTTAGGATAATATTTTGGCTTGAGGCTTCTGTACTTTGTAAATTGGGGGGGGTTGGAGGCTCTGGGGCAGTCTGGATGGAATCATAGCTTCAGGGAATGTGTATTAGCTTAGAAATTTTTTTGAATCAGGCTTCCAGGAAAACTGATTACAGATTTTCTCTTACTGGTGTCATCTCACTTTGTTATCAGTTGGTTTTATTCTGGCTTTTAAAAGAGAAAACTCCTTGTGTGCGAAGAACATTAAGGCTGTATCCTGATTCCCTGAAATACCTTTTGTGCACATTAATTTGAAGAGTGCAAATTCTGTCATTAGAAAAAGCCATTTTTCAAATTGCTCAGAAATATGGGCCAGCGTTTGGGTAGAGAGGATGAGAAACAAGGTCTGACCCATGAGATGTGGCAGCATAAATCAGAAGGTTTTCAACAGGGGCTTATTGTAAAACATACAAGAAAAAAGGAGGCAGAATAAGAAAATACAGCAGCAGCAGCAAGAGGCATTGCAAAAAAGGAAGTATGTTTAGACATCAGTGTCCTGATACTCAGCAAGGGACTTCCTCTCTGTGGCTGTAGATAACTGCCACAAGAACTTTCCCAACACAACAAATTAGAAGCATTTTATGTAGCATTTAGATATCTAACACTGATTGTTCCTCTAAAATTAAGTAAGTAGATGTGTAAATGCTAAAAAACATAAGTGTGTGTGTTTTGTTTTTTTCCTAGGGGCTAAATGAAAGACTATCATTAGAAAACCAGTTGTTAAAAGCAATTCTGGGGGAGAGAGGCAGAAATTATATCCTCTTTCTTCTTTATCTTCCTCTATTAAGAAAGCACTTTTTCTCTGTTAACACATGCAGAATCCACTTTCTGACCATAAAAATAGTTCTGCATTTTGAGTAGTCTGAACAATTTGCTCTTTTTTAAAAGTCTTTTTTCCCTTAATGATTATTGTTCCTGAGGTTATTTATTTGGACAGGAAGATGAACATCCAGAGGACCCAAGGTTATGCTAATGCCTTCTTACCCTTGTTTCATTACTGTGTTCTGAGCAAAGCTCTGGTTTGGAACCTGTTGGCTGACAGTTTGTATTATGCTAATTGAAATCTGTTTGCTGGAAATGAAATTAGAATACACCATAAGCTTGCTGTCATTAATAAAGTTAATTCTTTTTCTCTTTTGTTCCAGTTGGATTTCCAATTTCCACTTCTGGTATTGATGGTCTTGAAAGTGCATTTGGATCCCAGACATTTTCTGTCGCAGAACAAATCAAGAGCCTCCTCTCCTGTCTCATAGCAGTACAGACAGCTTAATATCATATGACCTCATTTCTTCAAATTAAATGAAAGAAGAATTTTCTCTGGCTTCCCATGAAGCTCAGTTATTGCCTGTTAATTTTAACTGTTAGTGCTGATCTTTCAGTTGGATTTACACTGGAAAATGTAGCTTTTAACTGGACAGTTGCTTTTGGGTCTTTCAATGCATCCCTTCATACGGTGCCTCAAGCTTTAATAAGTTCTCCAGCACACCATGATATCATAGCCAAAGAGGGGACCAGTATTTTAATTGAATGTAAACTGAACATCAGCCAGTATGAATATATTCTTTGGTACAACTCCAGAGGACACCTGCTTGAACAGGAAGATGAAGGTGAGCTTTCCTGCTGCTTTCTATCCTTCAGTATTACATTTTTATACAAAGTATCTGAAAACCTCTGGGACTTTATTATCATTTTGTCTTCCTATCCTCCCATTTTTACAGTTGGGAGATAAGGAGAGAGCAAAACAAAGCCTTTTGCCCTCTGGCATGTGGCATGTGAATTATAGCTGAGTTCTTCTGTCCTAGCCCATCCATCCTGCTACAGTGTTACACAGAAGAAATGAGTCTGCATCCTACCAGATTCTAACTGATGTTCTATTTATTATTGCTCTGGTTTATATTATATTTTTCCAAACACATGAATTAAACACAATTCTCCTCAGTTCGTGCTCTTTCCCAGCTGGCAGTCAGGGCTTTAGTTTTGTTACAGGATTTTTTAAAGCATGGGGTAACTTACTACATTTATTTTCTCTTTTATGCACCAGTGTGACTGTGGAAACGAACACAATTTGTAATGGCCAATGATGATATATATGCTATTTAACCTCTTTGTACAGAGGGAGAATGTATTTTCCTAGCATTGGCTCTTAGAGGTCTGTCCCTGTAGTTTTTAATTTTCACAAAATAATGTCTTTTAGAGACGCATGTGGTTTCTCTATTAGTATTAATGAAGGTCGTCAAGCTAATTGATAGGATCTTCTCGGAGGCCATCTTTCTGCCTTAAGTACTCAGTAACCTCTTTGTAGTTATAATGCCATCTGGAGATTAGTTCAAAGTAGAGTAATTAGAAGAATGAGTTATGAAAACAGTTTTTCCCCCTAAGTTATAAACGCATAAGAAACACCATAGAAAGCTAACCTCTTATTGATTTCTTTTTGCGTGGGTTTTGTGTATCAGCACTGCATGCTCAGCAGAAAACTGCATCTCAAGAAAATCCTGGGGTTTTTTGCCAACAGAGCCATTTACAGACTCACATCTTTTTCATGGGTCACTTCTGGCTCTGAAAATATGGAAAATTAGACTTTATAGAGACAGTCTTTCAAAACAGTGTTACACAGTCAATGAGAAGCACTAGTGAAGAATGAGGTTCATTGTCACAAAGAGCTAGCTGTCCAAAAGCACTCAAGAAAGTGCAGATGAGAGGAAGAAGAAAAACCAGAGTAGCAAGCATGAGGAACAATTTACCATTAAGCAGTAGGATTGGTAACTGGATTATGGCTGTCTGTATCACAGGCATGAAAAGGAAATTTCAGTCCTAGGTGTACTGTTTGTATTGTGCTGGAAATGGACTGCTTATTTCCAAGCTCTGTCTCCCATTGATGGAGCAGCCATCTTGTGTCTAGTTTACCCAGTGATTTTTGTTTCCTTAGCTCACTTTGTTCCCTTTGGCTCTCCAGGTGGCCGGTGGAAGATTGCTGAGAATTCCCTTAACATCACAAAGGTCAGCTTTGCTGACCGGGGCCGATACACCTGTGCAGGAGTTAATCGTAATGACACCTTGTACTACACAGTCACCCTGAGGGTAACCTTCACCTCAGGAGACATGAGTATCTACTACATGATTGTGTGCCTCGTTGCCTTTGCCATCACCCTCATCTTAAACATAACCCGGCTGTGCATGATGAGCAGTCACCTCCGCAAAACAGAGAAGGCTATCAATGAGTTCTTCAGGACGGAAGGGGCTGAGAAGCTTCAGAAGGCTTTTGAGATAGCCAAGCGTATCCCTATCATTACATCTGCCAAAACACTAGAGTTGGCCAAAGTCACTCAGTTTAAGACCATGGAATTTGCTCGGTACATTGAAGAGCTTGCCAGAAGCATTCCTCTTCCACCTCTGATCCTTAATTGCAGGGCGTTCATGGAGGAGATCTTTGAGGCTGTGCGAGTTGATGATCCCGATGAAGTTGGTAAGGAGGAAAAACAGCCCCAAGCCTGCGGTACCCAAGCTGCCATTTACCCCATCAACCCCGAGATGAAACGCAGCGATTCGCCAGCCGGGGATTCAGATGATGGGTCCATGAATGAGCCAGGTCAGGAGATAGCTGTTCAGGTGTCCATTCACCTGCAATCAGAAGTGCAGAGCATTGACACTGTTTCTCATGATAGCTGCCAATTTGCACCTTCTGAAGAGGGCACCTGCTGAGTCCAGTGATGAGCTGTTAAGAAGGCACAGGCCACCCTAGGATGCTACAAGAAAGGGTTCTGCAAACAAGCTGCCTCAGTCCCATATGCACAAGAGTTTTCCAAATTGCCATGTGCCAGAACTGCTACTGAAATCTGTGTTTTCTATCAGTGTTGACTGAATGATTTCAAATCTCTTAGAGAAAAGCCATTTGGAGTATTGTGCAGTGGCTTTTCTTTTTAAAGCGAGCTTGCTACACTCAAAATATTTACAAAACAGGAATTCTTTGTCCTTGGCTCCTTGGTAGCTTCTGGTACTGCTGATCCATATTAGAAGTGGCCAAGCTGAGTGGTGCAACTTGCAGTAAAATCTTTTCCTTTGTGAACTCTTTCTTCCCTCAGAAAGTGGAGCCGGAATTCCTTTGTGTCAGTGTTGTCCTTGATGCATTGAGTTGTGTGCTCCTTTTGAATTGCTTCTTGGTGTGTGTAGCCCATCAGAGCCATGGTGAGTTTGAACAAATCTGCTCTGTGTCGTGTGCTTCTATGTTGCTATCAAAGTGTACTGTACTTAGGAAAAGAATAGGACCAGGATCTGCTGCTGGATTCGAAGAATTGCTCTAGTTTCAAAGCAGCTTAGAGAACAACCAGGAGTTCTCAGTTTTCCATACATCTGCAAAAAACTTCGGCATACTCTAGTGTGTGGAGAGCGAATTGTTACAAAGCTCATTGCTTAAACTCGGTGCTGATTGCCAAAGCGCCTTACCCTGGTTCTGTCTTACAGAATGAAGCAGTAACAGCACTGCCAGCACGGTCTGACTTTTGACTTTGCTGATTTCATTTACCATAGAAAATCCAAAGTTTTCTATTCTGTTTGACATTGTTGTGAGAAAAGAATGCCAGTAATCGCATAGTGGCATCATGTAAAAATTAACTCATCTACAGATCAGGTGTCTCGTGCACTTCCTGCTGAACAACATTAGACTAAAGGAGGTGACACTCACTTTGCTCTGGCTAGTACTTTCAGAAAGCAGTAGAAGAGGGAGTAGTTAGTGGAGGGGCTGGCTGAGCTGTTTGCCAGCCACTGATTACAGGAGTGGCTGGCAACATACCCTGTCTTATCACTGAAGGGAGAAGTGCAGGTGCTGATATCTGCACACACATATGTACTTCAGCAAGGATCTCCTGCATGGCTGTAGAAATCCAGCCTCCAGGAGTCAGAGTGCAGACAAGAATCTAGTTTCTTCTTTCACTCTTTGGTGCTGATTTTTTTTTTCTTTTCTCCTTAACATTTGTAAGCCATATCACTTAAATAGCATTTTGTATCCTGTTGAGATTTAGTAGATGTAAAGCTTGTAAGCACTCCACAAATTAATTTCTTACAACTACTGGAAGCATATTGCCATATAATTTTAACAACTTGGCAACAGGAGCACCATTTAATTCCCCACAACTCTTTTTCTTTCCTTATTGTTACAGAAATGTCAGTTGAACAAATGATTCTGGACGGCTGCTCAGGATTCTTAAGAGGATTTGATATTACATTTACATGAGTAGAGATGGAAAACAAGCAGGCAGAGTGGTAAAACCAGGGTGGGGCCATCTGTTGTAATGCATGCTCATAACAAAGGGTCTGAGCAAGTTATATTTATCAAATCATATTAGAGAAGGGGAAAGTAAAGCATCTGTTACCATTTTAAAGTACCTTCTGGGGAGAGCTCTGCAGTCAGCCACCAGTAAATGCACCCTAGTTGGCTTTGGCCTGTCAGGTAAGAGTGATGTTTTTCAGGAAGGAAGAAAATTGCTAGCCTGGGTTATAGCAGCATTCCCACCAGCTTGGTACCATTTCCAAGACTGTAGTAAACTTTTATCTGCTTCAAGGGAATAAAGCCTTCTGCAGAGAATTAGGGCAGTTACTGCCCTCAACAGTAACTTTTTCTTTGCTTCCATAGTTTGATGGCACTTTATGTCCAGGTGAAAAGTTTGCGTAGTTTTGTGTAACCTGTCTGGTTTCTTTTAAGTTCTTTTGAGGTGATCAGTGTTAAAGGATACTCTTGTGGATAAATGCCCAGTTCTCTTAGGAGCCCTGCTAAGATGCTTCTGGCTTCACTTTTGTACTACAACAGGCTCTGCAGGTTTGTTGCACTTGCATGAATGGAGATTTGTGGGTTTTACACCCTTTTGGATGTCCTGGTTGAAAGAGGTGAAGGCTTCAAGAGAGAATGATCTGCTTAAATCTCTCACAGGCCATGAGGTTTGTACCTGCACCTGCCTTTTTTCCCCATGAGCAGTTCTGCTTGCTTTTGTGAAACTGTTGCATTGTATGCAGCAGGAGCATCTTGGACATTTTGCCCCTAACTACATATGCATGTAGAGATGCAGCTACAAAATCAAAGCTCCATTTAATCTCTTCTGGAGAAGCAGCTATGCAGTTGTGATTGACAGATGTCTCATCAGAAGTGGCAGCTTACAGGCAGCAGAATGACACTAGAGGTGTGTCAGATGGGTGTCAGGAGAGCAGTTGCTAAATGAATTCAATCTGTTCTTTGGTATTTACACTTTATTTACATAGCTCTGAGATTTTTCTGATCACAGCAACTGGTGTCTTCGTGTGTCCTGTTGCCAGTGGAAAGGCAGGAATGAGGATGCATAAAGATCCTCATAAATGCAGTGTCATTGCTGGATAGCAAAGCAAAGAGTTTTCCCAAGTTACTGCAGTATTTTGTTTACTAAATTAATTTCATTCCTGGGAAGGAGGCTGTAAGGATTTCAGTAAATCAGGAGTGTAGGAATGTAGGAGTGTAGGAACTGATCCTACTCCCACTGAATTACATTAGAGCAGATTTGAAGTTCTGGTGTATTTTACAAATGATATTACAGGATTTTTATGCATCTGAAAGCAAGGACGATGGTGATGTTATACAGTAAATGTAATTTCACGGCACTGATTTCCAAACAACATGTGAACTACTCTTGATCCTGAGTAGACTTAAATCTGTTTGATACATCTAATTGATCATTAACATTGAAAGATTAGGTAAACATCAGTGTTTCTTCCTTAACTTTCCATAGGATGAGGAGAATCTACACTGATTTCCTTGCTTTAAACTAAATTCTTTGACAATCACAAGGCTACTTTCTCTTTTCTTTGTGACTTACTTTAAATAATGTAAAATCTACTTGTTATCCAAGAGTACCTAAAACTAACTTTGTAGTGGTTATTTGTATTACCTGGATTGTAATGTAACTGTTTAATGTAACCACATAGGATTTCATACTTTCATAAAACAAATCGGTAGATTTGCAAAATAAATTCAAAACAAAAGCTTTCTTTTGTTAGAGTTTTCTCGTTTATCTGTAAGTACCTGTCTGTCTGAGGTTAAATAGCAGCTCTATTCAGCTAAGCAGAAATTGTTAGCCAGCCTGTCAAAGGTTTCTGGGATATTCAGTCATTTGCAATGACATAGAACCGCATAGAATCATAGAATAGTTTGGTTGGAAAGGACTTTAAGATCATCTTCCGGTCTGTCATTGTTTTATATCTCAAAGTCCTCAGCAGCATCTGTAATAATCATTACCAGATGCATAAATGAATGGTTCCAGGCCTGAAATAGTTTCAGGAGGGCCTCTATATTCTTGAGTTTACTTTTGGAAACTAAGAAGGTGATTGTGAAGTGCAGTGACCTGCAGCCACAAACCTGTATTTTCTGTGCTTAAGTTTTCACAGGATTGTACTATTCTGTATTGTAATCACCTCTATTATTTTTAGTCCCCCTCAAAACACAGTTTATTTGGACACAGCTTACCTCCTAAAATGCAACACAACACTAATGTGGAGTATCTAAAGGGTTCAAGTGACCAAGTCTGCATTGTGTTTTTTTCCAGTGAGTTGCTGAGATGGCATAAAGAAATTTCCACTCCTGCGCCAAGATAAGTGTGTGTGCTGCTCTCACTGCATCCCCTGAGATGGAGGAGATGGAGCTCTGACTTAACCCTTGCTCTTTGCAAGTTTTGCAGCAGTTTATTAAATTACATGGAGAGGGAATAACATCCCTGGAGTTCTGTGATAAGCATACTGAGAGTGGGAGGGAGGAGGCCATCCCACCTCATTTTGGTGACCAGGCTTTCCCCTTGCAATCAGTTCAGTCTATTAAACTCTGCCAGAGGGTGATCCCAAGCCCCTAAGCAAGCCACTTGCCCACCACCACTGGTTTACACAGGGAAGCCGTGTCTCCCATGTGAGTGTGTAATGTTGCATGATAATGGATGTCTTCTGTATGGGCACGTCCTGCAGCTCTGGAGCACAGAGTAAAAGTGCCCCTAGTTAGTTTAAACTGCAGCCCACCCCAAACACCAAAACCCCAGCTTGCTGAGAAACCCTCTAAATACAGTCAGCAAATATGAATGAGAACAGACTTCACCCACACTGTAAGGAGTACTCTCTGGTCACAGTCTCTGCACAAGGTAGATCCTAGAATGAAAGCCAAATCTTGGGGATTTTCCCATGAGAATCAGCTGCTTAAAGGAAGAATTATTGGACCCACACTCCTCAGGCTAGGTCAGTGTTCAATCAGCATCTGCTTTCTATCTGCATGTTATGAGATATGCATGAATGATAACGGTTCAGTTTCTTAAAGCTCCTGTAACCGGACTCGTCATGATCCTATCCACAGTGAATAAATTCATCTGCCTGAATTTAAAGCATGTTTCCATTTGGATAACAACAGTTCATTGAAAAGCAAGCTGCATTAAGGATGATTGTACTTTAATTTAAGGTGTGCTCCTTAAAAACTACAATTCTCCTTAATGTTGCAGCACTCTCATCCGGTGAGCCAAGTCTCCAGCCAGAGACACACGATGGAGATGCCGCCATTTCATTCAACTCAGTCAAGTTACAGCTCTATCAACTTCTGTCAATAAAGACCCAGCTGGGTCTCTGTCCGTGTTCCTTATTGTATAGCAGCCCATGCAGAGGTCTCCAAACACTGCCAACTTTTCTGCATGTGGAAAGGGGAATTACACCATCACTCAAAAAAACCACCCTGTTTTGCTAGATGTCCAAATATCACAAAAGCCCCCAAAGCTGGAAAGTTGAGCTTTATCCTTGGTAAGACAGTGCCTATTCTTTGGTCACGCCTGGCTGCCAATGATTGTAATAATACTGAGCAATTAAGCCTTTCATTTTTGTTAGGCTAATTAATTGTTTGCACAGTGTCCTGAATATGGAATCATTTTCCTTTGCAAGGAATGAAAGGATTAGACTGGCTTCATCCCAAGCTGCTCAGAATGTATTTTATTTATTTTATGGGAGAAAGATTTTCTTGCAAGCCCCAAACGCAACCCATAGAGTGGACTGTTAATGCCTGCGCTGGGACGTTCTCATCAGCAGGGGTGCACACAGACTGCACATATGTCCATCCATCTGCATCCACGCTCCATATGGTATCTGGGGTTTCTGCTGCTTGTCAATGAGTCCGTGACGAGGCTGGAGCCACCATCGTGTGTGTGCTGCTGGGATTGAATATCAGGCACTGGCAGGGTGATGAAGAGTTCCCTCAGGACATCAGCGGTCCCCATACAGCACCGAGGGCAGCACCACTCTAATGATGAGTGCTGGGTTGAGCACTCGAAGGGCAGAGCACTGCAGTGTGTAAATGTACTGGAGGCTGTCTCAAGAGGTTTGTACTCTGAGTAAATCAAAGGCAGATGAAGCCCGGGCCAGGATTTCATGAAGAAGGGCACCCAGTGGATGCAATATTGCAGAGGCTGTTGCTAGCTCTTTTTTATGTTTGTTTGTTTTATTAAACACATATTTCATGTTAAATCATGCCAAGTGTAATGCAAGCTTGCAGAAAGTGGAAAGTGAGGGGATGTATTCAGCTGCCATTACACAAACTTCTAGCCAAGTAGTTGGAGATAGCAAGAGTTCCCCTTGCCTTAATCTTTCTTTGCCTCTGGCATAAGGCCTGTCATGGGCCATCTGGAAGAGCTGAAAGTGACGATTGTGGCCTGTGCTACTTTCTCTTCCTCTAAAGATCAGGACATGGAGAACAGCCTGGGCCACCCGAAACACGCAGGAAAGGAATCAGAGGTTGGCATAAAGCAGGGACCTTACTTGGCTTTATGGGCCTGTTGTGACCAAAGAGATCATTCTGTGTTCAGGCTAAACCTGCAGAATTTAATTGAAAGTCAAACTCCTTTTGTTTATTTAATGCCTGGGTGTCTGAGTGTTGCTTCTTAGACTTTGGACCTTCTTGCTGTCATGCAAATGTCCCTGAGTTAGTGCTAGCAGCCAACAGTCCCTGCCCCTACTCATGTCAAACGAGTAAATCCAGTATTTTGGGTGCAGCATTCTTGCCATAGCTTTGTTACATGTATGTGGTAGGGGATGTAAAGCAGCAACTGCAAAGAAAACAAGTCTGTCCTGCCATTATCTTGACAGCTTTTCAGCATTTCACTTACTTTCCCTCCTTGGTCCCTTTCCTTCATGGTAAATACTCTGAGTATCTTGATTAAAGGGAAAATCCAAGTTTTTCATTGTTCTTTCTTTTGTCAGTTTTTCTCAAGCTTATCTCTCTTAAATAATGACTAGGGTGAAAGACAATGGACCAGAACAGACATGAAGGAGTTTAGACAACTGTCCTAAATTAGAGGATGGGTTTGCTTTGGAAATCCTCTCTGCATCACACTCTGTTACAGAGAGTTGGCTTTAATGGCAAATTTCTTGCAGCAGGGTGTCACTTCACTTCCATACATTACTTGAAATGCTTTATTAATTTGATGACCTCTTGGACTCCCAGAAGAAGCCATTTATCAGTGTTTTGAGGAAAGAGAGCTCCTCTGAGCTAAAGGGACTGTTTTGTTGCTCAGATTTATTGCTTGGCTGGCTTAATTCACCATTCAAACATGATGATTTTTAGCTGCCGGGCAGTGGCCCTTTCAATGCTGAGACTAATTAACTGCTGGAACTCTTCTTAGTAAGGCTGTTGTTTTCTTGCTGTTTGGTTTGGGTCTGGGCTTTTTTTAATCCACAGAAATAAAGCAAACAGGATCCCTGAAAGACAGGTTGCGTGGATACGGTATCTGCACTGGCACAGCCCCGTGCTGAATGAGTTTGTCACAAAGGAAGTAAGGCTGCCGGCTGTCCCTGCTGTTGATGTGACACTGTATAAAGGTAAGATGAGAAAAGAGACAACAGCTGAAGACAGAAGAAAGGAGGGAAGCCAGAATCATGGTAGAGCTTGAAGAGTAGCAAGAGATGTCTCTGATAGACAGTGGGGGATCCACATCCACCAGAGATCAGAGCTATGGACCTTGCTGGCAGGTTAAGGTCAGTGGCTTTGGAGCTGCTGAGTGAGTCCTTACACCTCCCTCCTCTTCCTTCATCCCTGCTGCTGCTGTCACAGGCCCTACTTGTGAAACACATGTACTTCATAGCTCAGACAGGTCATAGGGACTGCAGTGCCTGTTGTTGGGACCTTGTCAAAACCTTGCTTGGGAGGAGCAGAAAGGGAAAGGGGGTTGCTGGTTGTCAGGATGCATCCGGCTGCAGGAAGTTAAGCTGCTGGTTGTTATCTCATCAGGGAATTCTGCTCACCAAAATGTTTTATAGGAAAAGTGAATAACCCCTGTGATATTTCATGGTAGTGTCTAATGAAGGCATAAATAGGTGTAGAAGCTGAAGTGCAGATAAATCCAGTGTCTGTTGTACCTCTCCCTACAGTTTCTGTAAAGCACTGCTGCCCTGCTCCTTGCTCCAAGTCCGTAGGTGTGAATGAAATATAAATCACGGCTGTTAACTGAAAGCAGGGAATCCCTCGCTGGCTCCAGTGAGCTCCCCATCTGTCTTTGTTCCTGACAGTTTGATTACCTTTACCATCATCTTTAAATGCAGAGCTGCAAATACCATTAGTGGCCATAAAGAACGGCAATTCTTCCTGACATGCCTCAGCCACAGCATCCTCCTCGACTGGCAGCAAGGAGCACAGGCCAGACACCTTCCTCCTATGGGTGAGGGCTAGGAGACTCAGCTCCAGTTATCAATTCACCTCCATCCGATTGTCTTACTCCCTTTCAGACGTCTCCAGGATTTCCAGCCTTCTCCTGAATCTTCGTGGTCTAGTTGCTCATCGCTGGAGCACAGGAGTATGATGGAGCATCCCTGGGTGTGTGATCAAGAAAATCTTATGCTGCTTGATTTGCTCTGAACAAAGGGTAAAGTGCAGAAGACTGGCTGCGTCTGGGAGAGAAGGGATCTCTGCTTCGCATGGGTGTGATGGAGCTAATCTGGGCTTGGCTAGATAGGGGAGAGCTCCAAAAGGATCA